CAAGTTGGAATGCATTAAAAAAAATGTCTATGGAAGAGCTGCCTCTTCAAATTAGAGTAGAATTTAAATATATGGATGGCATAAAGCTTTTGGGATCTTCATTTGCTGATGTGGCACAACTGAAAATGTGAAGAAACAGCTGCAAACATCCTTTAATATTCAGAACTTGGAATGTAAGAGTATGAATCTACCAAAATTGGAAGTTGCCAAAAATGAAATGGAATGCATAAAAATCAATATCCTGGGTAACACCCAGTGAGCTGAAATGGACTGGTATTGGCCATTTTGAATCAGAAAATCATATGGTCTACTATGTCAGGAATGACAAGTTGAAGAGGAACATTGTCACATTCATTTTGAAAAAGAAAATTTCAAAACCTATCCTGAAGAACAGTGCTGTCAGTGATACAGTAATACCCATATACTTATAAGGAAAACCAATTAATATAATTATTATTCAAATTTACACACCAACATTAATGCCAAAGATAAAGGCAGTGAAGATTTTTTCTAACTCCTGCAGTCTGAAATTGATCAAACATGCTATCATTGTTAATTAGTGTTGATTGGAATGTGAAACTTGGAAACAAAGATGAAAGACCAGTAGTTGGAAAATAAGGCCTTGGTGTTAAAAACAGCATCAGAGATCTCATCATAGAATTTTGCAAAACCAGTGACTTATTCCTTGCAAATACCTTTGTTTAACAACATGAACAGCAACTATCCACATGGTTTTTTCCAAATGGAATATACAGGAATCAAGTCAACTACATCTGTGGAAAGAGGCAATGGAGAAGCTCAATATCACCATTCAGAACAAGGCCAGGAACAAACCGCGGAACAGACCATCAATAGCTCATACACAAGTTCAAGTTGAAGCTGAAGAAAATTAAAACAAGTCCATGAGAGCCAAAATATGACCTTGTGTATATTCCAATTTAATTTTGAGGTCATTTGAAGAACAGATTTGAGGCACCTATGACTGAAGACCAGGTAAGTTGTGGGATGAAATCAATAAAATCATATATGAAGAAAACAAAAGGTCATTAAAAATACAGGAAAGAAAGAAAAGATCAGAATGGATGCCAGAAAGGACTCTGAAACTTGCTGTTGAACATACATCAAGTAGCTAACAACAACAACAACAACAACAAAAAAAAAAAACTGCCATCAAGTCAGTTCCAACCGAGAGTTGTTGAGCTGGCCAACCTGTAAATCTTTACAGAAAGAGACTGCATCAGCTTTCTTCTGTGGAGCATCTGGTGGGTTAGAACTGCCAATCTTTTGGTTGGAAAGTGAATAATGCCTTAACCACAGTCCCAACAGAACTCCAAGAGTAGCTGAAGCAAATGGAAGAAATTATGAAGTAAAAGAGCTGGAGAGAAGATGTCAAAAGGCAGCTCAAGAAGACAACGTATAATAAAGTATTACAGAAATGTGCAAAAACCTGGAGTTAGTTCAAGCTGCAGTGAAAGCACTGGTGAAAAACAAGACTTTGGGAAATGACAGAATAGCAACTGAGATGTTTCAACAAACAAGTGCAACACTAGAAGCTCTCTCTCCTCTATGTTAAGAAATTTGGAAGACAGCTGGCCAAGTGACTGGAAAAGATCCAAATTTGTGCCCATTCCAAAGAAAGGTAATCCAACAGAATGCAGAAATTATCCAACAATATCATTAATAACACATGCAAATAAAATTTTGTTGAAGATAATTAAAAAATGGTTACAGCAGTACATTGACAGGAATTCAAGCCAGATTCAGAAGAGGACATGGAATGAGAGATATCACTGTGACATCAGATGGATCTTGTCTGAAAGCAGAGAATACCACAAAGATGTTTACCTGTGTTTTATTGACTATGCAAAGACATTTGACTGTGTGGATCATAAATTATGGATAACATTAAGAAGAATGGGAATTCCAGAACACTTAATTGTGCTCATGAGGAACCTGTACACAGACCAAGAAGTAGTCATTGGTACAGAACAAGGGGATACTGTATAGTTTAAAATCAAGAAAGGTGTATATCAGGGTTGTATCCTTTCATCATACTAATTCAATCTGTATGCTGAGCAAATAATCCAAGAAGCTGGACTATATGAGGAAGAATGTGGAATCAGGATTGCAGGAAGACTCATTAACAGCCTGAAATATGCAGTTGGCAAATATGCTTGCTGAAAGTAAGATGATTTGAAGCACTTACTGATGGAGATTAAATACTACAGCCTGCAGTATGGACTACACTTCAAAATAAAGGAAGCAAAAATCTTCACAACTGGACCAATAAGCAACATCATGATAAATGGAGAAAAGACTGAAGTTGTCAAGGATTTCATTTTACTTGTATCCACAATCAACCACCATGGAAGCAGTAGACAATAAATCAAATGATGTATTGAATTGGGCAAATCTGCTGCAAAAGATCTTTATAAAGTGTTAGAAAGCAGAGATGTCACTTTGGGGGCTAAGGTGCACCTGACCCAAGGCCTGGTATTTTCATATGCATGCAAAAAATGGACAATGAATAAGGAAGACCAAAGAGGAACTAATCCCTTTGAATTATTGTACTGACAAAGAATATTCCATATACTATTGACTACTGAAAGAATAAACAAATCTGTCTTGGGAGAAGTATAGCCAGAATGCTTCCTAGAATCAAGAATGATAGACTTCGTCTCATGTGCTTTGGACATATTATCAGAAGGGACCATTCCTTGGGGAAGAACATTATGCTTGGTAAAGTAGTGAGTCAGAGGAGAAAAGAAAGACTCTCAAGGAGATAGACTGACACATTGGCTGCAACAATGAGCTCAAATGTAGCAATGAGTGTGAGGGTGGAGCAGGACTGAGCAGTGTTTGGTTCTTTTGTATGCAGGATCACAATGAGTTGGAACCAACTCAACAGCACCTAACAACAACAACAATATTATACGGAAGCAGATCACCAGGCCTATTTTCTGTGCTGGTGCTGGTGGTTTTGAAGTGCCACCCTTTTGGTTAATACCTCAAAGTAAATCATTTGTACCACCCAAGGACCTTAAAAATGGATCATATACCTAAATATAAAGCCTAAAACTTCTAGAAAGAAAGAGAGGATAAAATTTTTGTGGCATTGGGATATGCAAAGTTTCTTTTAAGTATGACACCAAAATCCATAAAAGAAAAAAAAAAAATAACAGATTGCACTTCATCAAACTTAAGAATTACCTTTGAGAGATACTGAAGAGAGAAGAAAAAACAAGTTACAGATTAAGAAAAAATATTTGCAAATCACATTATCTGATAAAGGTCTTGTATCTCAAGTCAATAATAAGAGAATAAAAACCCCCCAAAAATATGGGCTAAATATAGCTAGCTACCCAGAGGGAGCAAGTAGTTGGACCTGTGGGCTCAGGACCATGGTCACAGGGGACATCAAGCTCAACTGGCATAATATACTACACAAAGACATTGTTCCATATCCTACTTTGGCAAGTAGCGACTGGGATATTCAAAGCTTGCAACAGCCATATAAGAACAACAATGGGTCTCTCCTCGTCCAGAGCAAAGAAGAATGAAGAAAACCAAAGATGCATGGAAATAATTAGTCCAAGGGACTGGTACACCATGTGATCCTCAGCCTACATGACTATGAGACCAGAAGAACTAGATGGTGCCCAGCTACCACTGTCAACCACTTGGAGGGGGATCTGTGTAGGAGATCCTGGATAGAGTGGGAGACAATGTGGAACAAAACTCAAAAAAAAAAAAAAAGGATCAGCTTTGCTGGTCTGATAGAGCCTGGTGGAACCCCTGAGACTATGGCCCCTAGCTACCCTTTAGGTTTGGAATTGAACCCACTCCTGTGGCTTCCAGCCAAATGAAAGGCAGGCATATGAGCTGAACATGTACATTAGGTAAATACACTCTCTGGAGAGATCAATTATGGGACAACAGAAGGACTGTGTGTGCACAGGGAGACAGCTCGGGGAGCAGGAATGCATGCGAGGGAAGGACACAGGGAGGGGGTGGCTATGGGGAGGAAGTGGGAGGAAAGCTGTTGCACTGTGGGAGACTGCAGTCTGTCATGAGACAAAGTGTATGTGAACTGCTGTATGGAAGATGAATTTAGTCTGTAAACTTTCACCCAAATTACAATAAAACTTTTTTAAAAAAAGGCTAAAAACTTGAACAGATACGTCACCAAAGATGTATAGATGACATACACATGAAAAGATGTTCAACATTATTGGTCATTAAGGAAATGCAAATTGATTCACAATGACATACAACTATAATTTCAAACATACTTGCACCACATGACTCAGTCATTCCATTCCCAGATATTTATCCATGAATGAAGAAAGTATGTTGTTGTTGTTAGGTGCCATCAGTTGCAACTCACAGAGACCCTATGTACAACACAACAAAACACTGCCCAGTGCTGTGCCATCTTCACAACCGTCGCTATGTTTGAGCCCACTGTTGTAGCCACTGGATCCTTTCAAATACTTGTGCATGAATATTCATTGAAGCTTTAATGTAATGGTAAAAAGCTGGAAACAATCAATGCTCATGAACAAGAAATGGATAAGTTGTGTACATCCATACAATTAAATACTACTCAGCATTAAAAAGTATGCACTTTTGATACGAGCAATGAGATCTATGACTCTCAAAATAATTAAGCCTAGTAATGAAGTCAGACAAAAAGAGGACATGCCATATGATACCACTGATATGAAAGTGTAGAAAATGAAAAAGAGTTTCTGGTGTTAGAAAGTAGATCAGACATTGCCTGGGGACAGAATGAGACTGGGAGGAGAGGAATTACTACGGATTACAAGGAAACTTTGGAGGTTGGTTATGCCCATTATCTTTATGGTAGTGATCATTTAACAGATGGAGGATATACATTTTAAAAGTTATCAATTGTACACTTTAAATATGTGCAGTGCAGTATAAAGAATAATACAAAAAAAATGAATAACAAAACTAAGGGAAGACAGAGTTATTACCTTCATATTATCCAGCTCTTGAAGTTCTGAAGTAGGTTTTTTTTCTAACTGAGCTTTACTCAGAGCCATGGCTGCTACTATTCCTCTGCAACAGCTTGGGGGAAAACACACACACATATAGCATGACCTATTTATTCTTGGTTCCTCTCCTAACTGTTTAAACTTCAGCGGAAGTTTAACATAGTAATAATTGAGCTACTGACTCATTAAGGAAAATAATTTGTCTCTGCCAATTTCTCACCCTTGCCCTTCTCCTCACCTTCATTCCTCTCAGTCTTGGCCACTGGTTCAGATTTGAAATAAAGGAAAAAATTGGCTAGATTTTACCTGGTGTAAAAGCTACTTCTTGAATTTCAAGTCATTATAGTGGCAATTCCCATCCTGGTTAATAAACTGACATTTTTTCAGACCTCATTTTTATTTGGTGTGAATCTTTTAGCTTTTCATGTACAAGGTTTTTTTTTGTTTGTTTGTTTTTTCTTTTTGAAGAGATGTTTTGGTTGCATTTAGTGAAGGACAAAAACAAACACACACTCAACTTTGCATGGAATTACATAGCAAACTTCTTCATAAATACCCCCAGAATGGGCAAAAGTGTAAGATGTAAATATTTATTCAAGCAAGTGGGTTTTTTTTTTTTTTGTCTTTTACTAATTCTTACCCCTGCACACATTGGCACTTTCCACCCTTCCTATGCTAACATTATTTTCAAAATAATCCCAGTGCCAAATTTTCATATTCCAAATGGGCACATTGTTGAAGCTAGTTTAAAAATTAAACTAATACTTATTTCAGGTTTTTTTTTTTTTTTTTTTCCAGCAATCCCTTATTGCAGCTACATCACTGCCTTTCTTTTTTCTGCTTTATGTCACATTTAATCTTCAAAAGGACAGCAGTAAAATAAGCAGACAGTTTCACCTGGTCAAATAGCTGGAGTATTGAGCCAACTTTCTTGCCAGTGCAACTACATCTAGCTCTAACTTTGCAATATTTATATCACGTGTCTCAGCACTTTTCTCCTCAGACAATGGGAGAGTGTCTTCATCAGTACAGTCAGGTACCATTAAAATCAGCAAATTTACCATCCACTGGATCATAGTTATATGCAATTCATCCATCTGTTAAAAAAATAATACAAATGACCTATTTTTAATAAATGTAACAGTAAAACCATTACCAAGTTTAGAAATAGAAATTATTATCATACCTATGTCTAACTTTCAACAATACTATAGTTCTTAATGAAATTAAATCATGACTACCCAGATAGTGTAATGGTATTTTCTTTTGCTCACTCTACTACATTAAACTACTTTCTTCCTCTTCTTTAACTTGGTCAAGGGTATTATTAACCCATGAAAGCCTCAGTTTCCAAATTGTACACTAGGGCATCCCAGGGTACCACCGTGAACTCACAGGTATGCCATGGGACTTCAAATTCTCAAGGAAAATACAATGATGTTTAATATCTGTCAGACTCATCTTGCACCTAACAGCTCAGTTTCAATGTTTGATGCACCACACTCCTTTTCATGACATCCTGTTTTTGAATCTGGCTGTATCAGTAGTTGCCATGCTAAAAACAAGTACTGTGTGAAAGTCAATATGGGACAGACAATGAAGGTGGTGGTGTCCAATTTGATTCCAGGGTTTCAGTAGTTGCACAGTGCCCAAAAAGCACACACATCTCATTAGTTATTTTGGTTCTATGAGAATGAGATAAAAGGTCTTTTTTTTTCCTTTATGGATTCACTTTTTCAAACAGTTACTATGTTGTTAAGACATGAACATCTAGTGAGTTGTTTGCACATATCTATTTAATTAACCAGTGAGGTATTTCTTTTGGCTTAACAGCGCCATAAGAACACTGAGGCACGAAGGGCACTATGACCTGAGGAAGTCTGGGAGCCTATGCACTACATCGTTTGCTGAGGTTGGATTCCAGAAACAAAATGCAGAAAACTTCATGAAATGCAAACATCATATATGTCATACTCTTTGAATGTCCTGCTCCCTTTCTTTGGTGAGTTCCTAAGTATTCTCCTAGGCTTAAACATGATCTACTCTGAAGAGATTTTTTAACTTCCACTTGCATTAACTTGCTCCCCATATTCCTATAGCACTTTGTACATACCTCTATTATAATTTTTCACAATTAACCAATTAACCTCTATTATCCTGTGAACCATAATTATCCCTCAATACTACACATAATACTTAATAGAGGGTAAGTGGTTAATAAATGTTGGTTGAATGAACAAATAAAAATCAAACTTGGTAGCCCAAATGGTACTACAGCCCAAACTTCTTGTCTCTTAATCCAGGAGGAAAAGTTGTTAATGACCTAATCCAATATTGATTAGTGTATTTTATACCTAAATTAACACATCAGGAAAAAGGTCAACCCTTCCTGAGTAAGAGTTTAAAAAGACTGCCTCTGTCACAAGTCAAAGATATCTTTCCTACATATTTCGCCAGTTGTGGTTTTGGTTTTATCCCCAGCTGCTTCTCAATTAAATAAATTCCTAACTGTTCTTTCATGTATCAAAGGTCTGGATTATATACCATTGAAAGAATTCACTTTGCTTATATAAAACATTGATCAATCCTTAGACTATCCCTAGGAAATAAATAGAAATGGATGTTCATTTTAAAGTTACATGGAGAGTTCAAATAGCAATCTCAGAGTCATGCAATTAATCGTTGCTGTTCAGTCGGCTCCAATTTATGGCAACTGTGGTAGTTAAGGTTGTGTGTCAGCTTGGCTGGGCTGTGGTTTTGAGTGGCTGGGCAGCTGGATGTAGTGATTGCCCATGATAAGGTTGGGAATCAACTCCATGGCGGAATCTGCTGTAAGCAGCTAAGAAGCTGCCTTTGGGGCATGGCCTGCTTCTAGTACAAAAGAAGAAGCTTTCAGAGAGGTCTCTCACTTTTGGCACATTTGGATTCTGCATTTGACAGAGTATTCATAACCAGTGGCCTGCTGATCTTGGGATTTTTCCTGAACTTGATCCAGCAGCCTCCTGTGTTATCTACCAATCTTGGAATTGTGCCATTTTACCTGCTGACCTTGGGTTCACCAGCTTCAGCAGGCAGCAGCTGAGTTAGGAGAAGCCTCTAGCTCCAGTGGGCCTGGAATAAGAAGCAGAGCCGAAGCCCAAGGTCAAGGGTCTTTACCCAGCCCCAAGAGCCAGCAGTCTGAATTTGGACTTCTAGCCCCTTAAAACTGTAAGAGAATAAATTCCTGTTTATTGACACCATCCACTATTTCTGTTACAGCAGCACTAGAGAACTGAAACAGCAACCTTATGCATAATAGAAGGAAATGTTGCCTGGTCCTGTTCCACCTTCATGATCGTTGATATGTTTGAGTCCATTTTTGCAGATATTCTGCCGATCCATCTCATTAATGGCTTCCCTCAATTTCACTGACCAATTTAGTGAATTTTCAATTCACCAAACACAATGTCCTTATAGTGACTGGTTGTTCCTGATGACATGCCCAAAGTAAGCAAGCTGAAGTCTATTTTCACTTCTCAGGAACATTCTGGCTGTGTTTCTTCTAAGGCTGATTTGTTCATTTTTCCAGCAGTCTATGGTATAGTCAGTATTCTTTGGCAACACCACAATTCAAATGAATCAATACTTCTGTCTTCTTTTTCATGGTCAAGACTTTGCATGTATATGAGGTGACTGAAAAGGTCATGACTTGGGTCAGGCACACCTTAGTCATCAAAGTGACAAGTTTGCTTTTTTAAACTTTTGAGTCTTTGCAGCGGATTTGCTCAATGCAATATGTCGTTTAATTTCTAGACTGATACTTCCGTGGATGTTGATTATTGATCCAAGTGTAATAAAATCCTTGATAATATAAATTTCTTTTCTGATTATGTTGTTGTTTATTGGTTCAGCTGCAATAATTTTTATTTTCACATTCAAGAGTAATCCACACTGAGGGCTGTAGTCAAGGTTGTGTCATGTACATATTGCAGGTTGTTAATAAGTCTTTATCCAATCCTAATACCATATTCTTATTCATATAGTTCAACTTCACAGATTATTTGTTCAACATACAGATTGAATGGGTAAAGTGAAAGGATTCAACCCTGACACACATCTTTTCCATTTCTGAACTACGCAATATCCCCTTGTTCTATCTGAACAACTGCCTCTAGATCCATCTACATGTTTTTATGAGCACAGTTAAATGTTCTGCAATTTCTATTCTTCGTAATGTTATCCATAATTTGTTACAATCTACACCATTGAATGCACTTAAGTAGTCAACAAAATACATGTAAACAGCTTTATGATATTCTTTGCCTTCAAACATCAATTTGACATCAGCAATGATATCCATTCCGCATCCTCTTCTGAATCTGCATTGATCTTCTGGCATTTCCCTGTCAATGTACTACTCAACCGTTTCTGAATTATCTTCAGCAAAATTTTACTTGTGTGTGACACTGAGATTGTTCAATATTTTCCACATTTGGTTAATCACCTTTCTTTAGGATGGGCAGAGATATGGATTACTTCTAATCAGTTGGCCAGGAAGCAGTCTTGCAAATTTCTTATCATAAACAAGTAAGTGCTTCCAGCACTGTATCCATTTTTTGAAACATCTCAGTGGGTATTCCGTCAATTCCTGGAGCCTCGTTTTTCACCAATTCCTTTAGTGCAGCTTGAACTTCTTCCTGCAATACCATTGGTTTTTGATCATATGCTACCTCCTAAAGTAGTTGAATGTTGACCAATACTTTTTGGTATGATGACTCTATGTATTCCTTCCATCATCTTTTGATGTTTCCTGCATCATTCAATATTTTGCCCATAGAACCCTTCAATATTGTAATTTGAAGCTTGATATTTTTCTTCAGTTATTTCCGGTTGAGAAATGCTAAATGCATTCTTCCCTTTTGGTTTTCTAACTCCAGGTCTTTGCACATTTCATTATACTACTTTACTTTGTTTTCCTGAGCTGCTCTTTAAAATCTTCTGTTTAGCTTTTATTTCATCATTTCTTCCATTTGCTTTAGGTATTCTCCATTCAAGAGCAAGTTTCAGTCTCTTCTGATATCTACTTTGATAATTTATTCCTTTCCTGTCTTTCTAATGACCTTTTGCTTTCTTCACATATGATGGTCTTGATGTCATCCCACAACTCATCTGGTCTTCAGTCATCAGTGTTCAATGTATCAAATCTATTCCTCAAATGATCTCTAAATTCAGGTGGGATATAATCAAGGTTGTATTTTGACTCTTGTGGACTTGTTTTAATTGTCTTCAGCTTCAACTTTAACTTGCACATGAAGAACTGATGGTCATTTTCACAGTCAGCTCTTGGACCTGTTTTAACTGATAATATTCAACTTCTCCATCATCTCTTTCCAAGGAAGTAGTTGATTTGATTGCTGTGTAGTCCATCTGATGAGGTCCCTGTGTACAGTTAGCATTTATGATGCTGAAAAAAAAAAAAAAAAAAAGTGCTTGCAATGAGTAAATTGTTGGCCCTGCAAAATTATAGCGTACAATCTCTGGTGTAATTTCTATCATCAAGGCCATATTTTCCAACAACTGTTGCATCTTTGTTTCCAGCTTTTGCATTTCAATCACCAATAATTATCACTGCATCTTGTTGGCATGTTTGGTCGATTTCAGACTGCAGAAGTTGGTAAAAATCTTCTATTTCTTCATCTCTGGTTTTAGTGGTTGGTGCATAAATTTGAATAATAGTCATACTAAGTGGTCTTCCTTGTAGGCATATGGATATTATCCTACCATTGATAGCATTATACTTCAGGATAGACCTTGAAATGTTCTTTTTGATGATGAATGTGATGTCAAGACACCATTCCTCTTCTATTTGTGATTTCTGGCATGATAGACCATATGACCTTCTGATTCAAAATGGCCAATACCAGTCTTTCAGCTCACCAATGCCTAGGATAAAAATCTTTATGTGTTCCATTTTATTTTTGACAACTTCCAATTTTCCTAGATTCAAACTTTGTACATTCCACATTCTGATTAATGTTTGGAGCTGTTTTTTTCTGATTTTGAGTCCTGCTCCATCAGCAAATGAAGGTCTCAAAAGCTTTACTCCCATTCACGTCAT